GTGTAGACGGTGTGAAGCTCACCTGGCCGAGGGCTGAACTCAATCAATGACGGCAAAGTGTATGCAAATTTACGTAGCCGACGGATCGTATTTCGAGCAGGTGTAACTTAGTTGTTTTTTTGGAGTCTAGGCTGAATTCTATAGTCGCAGCTTGAAGAAGGTGGCGAGAGTGGGGCGAGAAACGAAAGAAAGAAAAAAATGAAAGAAACGAAAGAAAGAAAAGAAAAAAGGAAAAAGTGAATATCAACAGTGGAAAAAGAAAGAAAGAATGAAGAGAAAATGAAAGAGAGAAAAAAGAATGAATGTTAATATCAACAGAGGGAAAAGAAAGAAAGAAAGAATGAAAGAAAGGAAGGGAGGAATAGGAATAAGAAAGAAAGGAAAACGGGAAAAAGGAGGAAGAGAAAAAGAAAGAAATCAAAATGGAGAAAAATAAAAGAAAGAAGGAAAAAGAAAGAAAGAAGAAAAAAATATGTGAATATCAACAGTGGAAAAAGAAAGAAGAGAAAAATGAAGGAGAGAAAAAGGAAAGAAAGAAAATATTAACAGTGTAAAAAGAAAGAAAGAAAGAAAGAAAATATTCAGAGGGAGAGAAAAAGCGAAAAAGACAGTAGAAAACGGCAAGAAAACGATATCAACAACAGAAAGAAAGAAAGAAAGAAAGAAAGAAAGAAAGAAAGAAAGAAAGAAAGAAAGAAATGAAGAAAGAAAGAAAAAAGAAAGAAAGAAATGAAGAAAGAAAGAAAGAAAAAAGAGAAAAATAAGGAAGAGAAAAAAAAATGAAAATCATCCTGCGGCGGTGAATAAAATAAATAAATAAATAAATAAAGAAAGAAAGAAAGAAAGAAAGAAAGAAAGAAAGAAAGAAAGAAAGAAAGAAAGAAAAGTAAATATTCAAAGGCGGATGAAAAAAAAAATAAAGAAAAGAAGAGAGAAGAAAGAAAGAAAGAAAGAAAGAAAGAGAGAAAGAAAGAAAGAAAGAAAGAAAGAAAAGTAAATATTCAAAGGCGGATGAAAAAGAAAAAAATACTGTAGAAAAGACAGACAAACAAACAGAGAGACAGAAAGGAAGAAAGAATGAAAAAGAGATGAAAAGACAAAAATAGATGGTCTGATCGAAATCAAGAAAAGTCAGAAAAAATATACGCAAAATTCAAGATAGAGAAATAATATGAAATGAAAAAACAGAGAAAAAATAGAGAGAAAAAAAAAAAATAAAATGCAAGGCAGATTGAGGGAAAGAGAAAAAGAAGAAGGCCGAGTATAGGCAAAAAAATGAAAGCGAAGAAAAAAATCAAAATAAGGGCTGGAATAAAGAAAAAAGAAAAATGAAGCAAAGAAAATAACAAAAAAATAAAAATAAAATAAACGAGAATGAAAATAAAAAAAAGGACGATACGAGAAGGAAGAAGACAAGATGGGAGTCCTGAGCCAAGTAAAAAGCTGGAGGAAGAATAAGATCGAGAAAAAGAAATATAAGAACAAAGGGGAAAAAAAAGAAAACGAAAGAGTAAAGCGGAAAAAGGCGATTGAAAAATAGAAAGAAAAGAAAAGGCCTAAGGGAAAGAAAAGGATAAAAGCTTAAGGGAAAGAAACAGAAAAGAAAAAGGAAAAAGAAAAAAAAAAGCTTAAGTGAAAGAAAAGGACAAAAAGGATAAAAGAATAAAGAGAAGAAAAGAAAACGAAGGAGTAAAGCGGGAAAAAAGAAAGACGAAGAAAAAAAGGGGAGAAAACAATTGAGAATAGAACGAAAGGAAAATGTCTAAGGGAAAGAAAAAGATAAAAGCTTAAAGGAAAGAAAAGGAAACAGATGACTAGAAGAAAACAGACAAGGAGAGATGAGAAAAAGAAGAATAATATTTTTAAAAAAGTTATAGGGTAGAGCGTTACTGTTAAAATGGTTATGATTAATGTGTTTGAAATGAATGGAGGTGGAGGTGTTAGGAAGTGAAGATTATGAGAGCAACGAGGATAGACCAGGGAAATATCCAGCCGGGAGTTTGTCCCACAAAGTAGTAATTATTCGGGAAAAAAATCTGCCTGATTGGAATTTTTTTCATATATTTCGAATACGGCGAACATGTGTGCCCTCTAGTATTTTTGGAAGTAGCATAGCCTCTTTTTTGCTGTAAAGGTCTGAAGTCGTAGAACTAGAGAATGGCAGAAGTAAAAAGAAACAATAATAATGGTAAGTCTAAGAACAACGTGAAGAAAGGTGATGTAAACGATGAGAAAAAAGAGGAAAAAGAAGAAGAAAAAGAAGAAAAGAAACGGAAGGCGAAGATGAAGTAGAGACAGGCGATGATGAAGAAGAGGAAGAAAACGATGAAGAAAAGGAGGAAGACGAACGAGAAGGATGACGATGATGAAGAAGATGGAAATGAGAATGTAGAAAAGAAAGCAGACGATGATAAAAACGTTGGTTTGATGCTTGCGGCATATCAACACCTCTATGGGTTATTTAATGCCGAAATCTAAATAGTCTGGAGACAATTTTATGGCTTCATCTAAATATATTTTGAACGCATTTGTATGCCTTAAACTACAGATAAAATGTAGGTCATTTTGCTTTAAAAGTGTATTGTTGGTTCCTTTTTACATAAAAAAATGTATTGCTAGTATTTTTATTACAAAATATATTTTTATACTTTAATAATGCTTCGTTTGGTGGGGGGGGGACTATTTTCCCATAATTGGGTCTCTGACAGGTGCTACCACCCCGGGTCAGGGTGGACCTGGGAACAACAGCAAATAAGAGGTGGTTCCACGCTTCTTAAATTTCCTGATATGAGGCCTTGCTGCCGGATGTAGTTTATCGTCATACCCAGGAGTGTGATAAATCCGTGGAAGATGACAATTATGTAGGATGGTAGAAGACAATGAATATGAAAAAGAAAGGGATAAAGAAGAAGAAGAAGAAGAAGAAGAAGAAGAAGAAGAAGAAAAAAAAGAAGTAGATGAAGAAGAAGGAGAAGAGGAAAAAGAAAAGTAGAAGAGGAAGAAGTAGAAGACGATGAATATGAAAAAGAAAAGGATAAAGAAGAAGGAAAAGAACAAGAAAAAGAAGACGAAGAAGAAGAAGAAGAAGAAGAAGAAGAAGAAGAAGAGGAAGAAGAAGAAGAAGACAATAATGAAGAAGAGGAAGAAGATTATGATGTAGAGGAGAAGGTAGAAGACGATGAATATGAAAAAGAAAAGGATAAAGGAGAAAAGAAGAAAAAGAAGACGAAGAAGAAGAGGAATAAGAAAAGAAGAAGAGGAAGAAGAAGAAGATGATGAATATGAAAATGAAAAGGATAAAGAAGGAGAAAAAGAAGAAGAAAAAGAAGACGAAGAAGGAGAAGACAATGAAGAAAAAAGGAAGGAGACTATGATAAAAAGGAGGAGGTAGAAGACGATGAATATGAAGAAGAAGAAAAAGAAGAAGGAGAAGAAGAAGCTGAAGACATAATGAAGAAATGGAAGAAGGTGATGTTGACAAGGAGGAGTAAAACGACGAGGAGGAGAAGGAGGAAAACATAAAAAAAAGAAAAATTAAGGAAGACGATGGTGAAGAAGAGAAACAAGACAACGATAAGAAGCGGAGGAAAAGATAATGAAGAAAATGAAAAAAGAAGAAAATGATAACGAAGGAGATAAGGACGATAATGTGAAAAAGAAGGACGACGATGTTGAAGAAGAGCAGAAAGATGATAATGAAGAAGAAAATCCTTACGTGAAGCCATTTTATTACAGATGTAACCATAATATTTTGATTCAAGCATTTAAAGAGAGAAAATAATAAGTTGGCTGGACGGATAAAAAAAAAAAAAGAAGGAAATCCGGTGCAAAAAGGAGAAAACGAGAAGGAAAAAAAAAAAGGAAAGGATCGGATGATTAAAAAAAAAGAGATGAAAAGGAACGAAAAAGATATAATGAGAGAAAGTGAGGAAAAGAAACAAAAAAGAGAAAAAAAGAAAGAAAGAAAGTGAATATCAACGGTGGCATAAGAAAGAAAGAGGGAAATAAAGAACGGAAGAAAGAAAGCAAAAAGTGAAAAAGAAAGAAGAGGAAAAGAAGAAAGTGGCTATTGATCGTGGGAAAAAGAAAGAAAGAAAGAAAGAAAGAAAGAAAGAAAAGATGAAAAGAGAAAAAAGAAGAAAGAAAGTGAATATCAGCCGGGGAAAAAGAAACAAATAAAAAAGAAAGAAAGAAAAAAATGATCGGAAGAAAAAAAGGAAGAAGAAACAGAAAATAAAGGAATAAAAAAAGGAACTGGATATCAAGCATGGAACAAAAAGAAAGAAAGAAAAGAGAAAAAGAAAGTAGAGGGAAAAGAAAAAATATGACTATCAACCGTAAAAAAAAGAAAGATAAAACAAAAAAAGAAAGAAAGAAAGGTAGATAGATAGATAGATAGATAGATAGATAGATAGATAGATAGATAGAAAGAAAAAAGAAAGAAAGTGAATATCAAACGTGGAGAAAGAAAGTAAAAAAGAAAAAAAGGAAGAAAAAAGAAAAGAAGAAAGACAGGAGTTGAAAAAGAATGTGATTATCAACAGTGAAAAATAATTAAAGAAAGTAAGAAAGGAAAAACGAAAGAAAAAAGATCGGAAGAAAAAAAGAAGAAAGAAAAATAAAGGAAAGGAAAAAAAAAAAGAAAGGGACTGAATATCAACCGTAGAAAAAGAAAGAAAGAAAGAAAAAAAGAAAAATAGGAAAAGAAAAAAGAAAGTGAATATCAAACGTAAAGAAAGAAAGAAAGGAAGAAAGAAAGAAAGAAAGAAAGAAAAGAAAAGAAAAATATAAAGAAAGTGATTATCAAACGTGTAGAAAGAAAAAAAGAAAGAAAAGAAAGAAAGAAAAGAGAAAAAGAAAGTAAAGGAAAAAGAAAGAATATGAATATCAAATGTGGAAAAAGAAAGAAAGAAAGAAAGAAGGAAGGAAGGAAAGAAAGAAAGAAAGAAAGAAAGGAATAAGGAAATAAAAATAGAAAAAAAAAAGAAAGAAAGTGAATATCAAACGTGAAGAAAGAAAGTAAAAAAGAAAGAAAACAAGAAAAGAGAAAAGGAAAGGAGAGGAAAAAAGAATGTGAATATCACGAGTGGAAAATAAAGAAAGAAAGAAAGGAAAATGTGAGAGAGAGAGAGCGACACAGAGCGAGAGAGAGAGAAAAGAAAGAAATTAAACTGCGGGGAAAAAGTAAAAGAAAGAAAGAAAGAAAGAAAGAAAGAAAGAAAGAAAGATGACAATAAATATTCAGAGGAGAGTAGAAAGAAAAAATGTCTGTAGAAAACGACGAGAAAGACAGAAAAAATGAAAGAAAAAGAGAAAGAAAGAAAATAGGGTGGGAAAAACGATGGCTTCATGAAAATAAAGAAAAGTAAAAAATATATAAATGAAAAAACAAGTTACAGAAATAATATGACAAAAAAAAAAAAGAAATAGAAGGAAAGAATGAATGAGAATCGTCAGTGGGTAGAAAGAAAGAAAAATGAAAGGAATTGAAGAACTAAATAGAAAAAGATGTTAAGAAAGAAAAAGAGAAAGAAAGAAAAATGCCAAAAAAAAAAAAAAACGAATAAAAAAAACCAAAGAAATCAAGTTGGTAGGAAGTAGACAGTTGAAATTGTAATAAAAAATGAGTGGGTGGGAATGAATTGGGTGGATGGATGGAGAGTGGAAAGACGTAACGGTGGGTGGGAGAAATTTTGAGGTCGGGGTGGCAACGAGAAAGAGTGAAAGAGAAAAAAAAAGACTCGGACACCTGTTAGGTCGTTCCTCTGGCTGTATAACTGCGCACGCACATGCAAATAATCTCTCTCGCCCGCTCGCACATACCCACACCCACGCGTACACGCACACACACATACACACACGCAAACACACAAACACACAAAGTGAGAGAGAGAGAGAGAGAGAGAGAGAGAGAGAGAGAGGTGAGGAGCTGGGACAACACAAGAAATTCACATTTTCATCGACACAAAACACTAACAGAAATATATTAAAAAAATTACGCGCATGCAGACACATACATATAAGAACACATACATACACACATTAACACAGACACAATCATGCACAAGGATAATCGTACACACACTCATAATGTTATACACTCACATAAGCATACACACAAACTGAACAGATTTGCATAATTAAAAACGTTTATATACACACACATGATCAGAAGCACAGCATCTAATCACGCACACACACTTAATCACACACACACACACACACACACACACTTAATCACACACATAATCACACACACACAAAATATCCAGACACGCACTTCTTAAATCACACGTTATGCCCTCACATAATAACCCATATAACCGCACATGCGTGTTGACACACTCACAAAATCACACATACATATTGAGGTACTCACATAATCGCACACATATAACAACACACTAACAGACTCACACGCATATAATAACACACTAGCATAATCATACACACACATTGACAGACACACATAGTCGCACGTACATGTTGACACATATAACTACCAACAATCAAGATGAATGGAGTTCCTCTCGGGGAAGCACCGTGCCTTGAATGACACTTGGGCCTTAAACTCACACCCGACATCAAGTGGAACTCGTATATAGGATCTGTTGTTAATAATGCAGGTAAAATAGTCGGCTCTCTGTACCACTTCAGTGGGTACCTGACTCCTCCTGTTATCTTCTACCTTTACAAGAGCTAGATCAGGCCAAAAAATGGAGTACTGTTGACATATCTGGGCATGAGCTGCCAAAACCTCACTCCCCAGCCTTGATAGAGTTCAAAAACGTCTCCTAGCACTTGTGGGTGACGAATTATTCTCCACTCTTGAAACTCTTTCCCACAGCCGGGATGCTGCTAACCTCTCGCTGCCCTATTGCTATTTCCACGGTAAGTTCTCGGACGAAGTACATTCCTTGGTCCCGACAAGTCAAACCTTCAGTGCAAGAACACGTTGTACCACTTTACACAGTAGCAAACCACACACATTCCCTTCGTATTCCATCGGTGAGAAGTAATTTCCACTCCAGCAGCTTCTTCCCGTCAACCACTGCCCCATGGAATCGACTCCCAACAGGTTGTTTTCCCGGATCACTACAATCTTAACCTTTTCATGGTTCGGGTTAATCGTTATTTCCCTCACTTATACACACAAATGACCTCCTAACGTAACCCTCTACCTCGAGTGGCTCCCGGGCTTTGTAAAGGGTGACTCTGCAAAAAAAAAATAAATAAATAAAAAAATAAAATAATAATCATGCTTCCATATTGACACACTTACCTGAGACATAACGACACAAATAATCACACACACACACTGCATTGACATAATCGCACACACATACTGACGCACTCACACAAACGCACAGATATATAATAATACATTAGCATAATCACATACACAAAAACACAAAATACATCACATTAACATAAGCGCACACGCATACTGATCGCACACATATATTGACACACCCTCATAATCGCACACACAGCACATTATCATAATCTCACATACATACTGATACACTAACATAATTGTACACGCATACTGACATACACAATCGCATAGACATATAAGACAAGCATAATCACACACCCGATAACACATTAATATAATCACACACCCGGTAAGATATCTACCTAATCGCACACATATACTGACACATATAATCGCAGACATATTGACACACACATATAATCGCACGCATAACACATTCATATAATTACAGACATATTGACACTCACATAATCGCATACACTTAGTGAAACCTTCATATGATCGCACAGACAACAGGTTAACATAATCGCGCACGCATATTGACACATTCACATAATGGCACACACATGCTGATGTCACACGCACAGGCTGATATCGCACGCACATGCTGGCTGGAACCATCGCATACATATAAACGAACTCATAATCATTGTACAGGTTATTCATTGAATTTCTCGTATCTGATTGCTCTCTTTTTAATTCCTTTTACCAGACTAAGCAAGTCTTACTATATACTTTTCTTTCCACTTTATACACTTGAGTTTGAGGGAACCCTGGTAATTTTTTTAAATTGACCCAAATGTAGTTTAAATCTAAAAATCAACCATTCGCCCCTTTTTTCCACAAACGAAATAGAATATCTATTTAGTTTGTGGACCTGAGATGGAACAAATACATTGAGCTTCGGCCACCGCAAGGAAAGTTGGCTCCCTGTGCCGCGCCAGGAAATTTTTCTCGCCGGAGTAGATCCTTCAAATGTACAAATCAACCATTCGCCCTTGCATGGAGTATTGCTGCCATATATGGTCTGGAGCCCCTTCTGTTTGTCTCAAGGTCCTTGATAAAATCCAGAGACGGATATGCAATGTAATTGGCCCTGATCTGGCATCTCGTCTGCAGTCGCTTTCTCACAGACGTTCCGTTGCATTTTGTCTTTTTTTTTTTTTTACAAATACTTTCATGGTAACTGCTCCAATGAGCTGCTTTCGCTGGTTCCCAGACTTCATGAATTTAAGCGTTCTACTAGGCTGGCATTTCGCTCACACCCTTTCACTGTCGAAACAGTTAAATGTAGCCGTCTCTTCTACTCCAATAGCTGCATGTCTCGCACTTCTCGCCTGTGGAACTCACTCCCCTTTTCATGTTTCCCTGATAGCTATAATCTCCAACTATTCAAATAAAATGTCAATCGACGTCTAAAATGTCAATAATAAATAATAAAATGTCAATCGACATGATTTTTTTCAATCTGTCTATATTTCTAAGATGAGGTATTGTAAATATTTACATTATTTACATTGTTCGAACTGCTGTCATTTTTATTGTGACATTCACGGTGTTTCGGCCGTTGTACGCTGCGGCCTTCTTCAGGTGATTGGAATTTCGAAATGAACCGTTTAAGTGTTTCAGTTCGAAATTCCAATCATCTGGAGAAGGCCGGAGCGTACAACGGCCGAAACGTCGTTAACATGCCAATAAGGATGGTGAGAACAGCCCGAATATTGTAAATAATGTAAATTATATTTTTTATTAGAATTTTGATTATGACAAATAGAAAAAAAACATTATGATTAAATTTTGCTCTCGACAAAATATCCTCCATTAGCCTTTATTACAGCTGAACTAATTTTTCGCATTCGTTGCAAAAGTTTCTCAAAGAATGAATATGATAATTGATTCCATTTTTTTTTCCAATAACCCTAAGAGTTTTTTTTTTCATTTTTTTTTTTTTTTGCTTCTTTTGTGAAGTTCATCCCATGCTAATTCTGGAGTCGCTTCAAACTTTGGAACTGTAGTGCATATCGATTGGCTTACGCGAGAGAACAATCAATGTGCACATGACAAATTTACACGACGATGCAAAAAAGCTGAACAACGTCTACCATGGGAGAAGAATATTCGAACCTACAACGTCGGACACGGATTTTCACTTGTAACTCGTAAAAGAATATGCTATTTTTCCTATTCAGTCAAACCAACACACAGAAAGTCATATGGCAATGAACATCAGTCCCATGACCGGGCGTCGTTGTGAGGTTGCTGTGCAATTGAGCACCAAACCAGTTTCCGCCACATTTCTGGACTGAAAGCCGGTAAGGTGTCCCTTCACGAGTAGCATGTCTTGGATAAATATACTCATCCCTCTCCGGATCACAACGACGGAATCGGCCAAAATAAAATATGTTGAGCTACAGCCTCTAGGAGTAAAATTGAAAAAGTGTGACACACTGACATTCGCATTTTTTATATAGATGGCGAGATCGGCATTAAGATATTTTTTATTGCCAAACCAATATCTAACGAACAGTTTAGATCACAAAGATCAGAATGATCTTGAACTCTGTCGCGCATGCGCACTAATTTATAAATTTCTCACACACATCCGTTATTTATAGCAGTGCTTGGAAGGAAAGTGTGTAGAGTGTGGTCGTCGCCCCACACCACAGAAGTTTCGTCAGTGACCCTGACTTGTACAGTAGTTTTGGGCCAAGCGCAACGTCACCCACATCCGACAGATACCATATTTTCTAGTTCCTGTCCGTTGCAACTTTTTTTCTTTCCAAATGAGAGGAAGACGATTTCAAGACGCCGAGGAAATCCAAGGGGAATGCGAAGGGACAGCTTCTCGCTATTCCAATGGAAAGGACGATGTGTGGCTTTAGAAGGGGACTACTTCGAAGAAGATTAAATGCCGAATTGATATGTGCTGTAGTTTTTATTTTATAGCACCCGTCACGATGCAGTCTGTGTCAAAATGTACTATGTCAGTTTCATCTACGCCGTCAGACAGACGTACCCTATTTTATTTTGCATAATATTTTGAAGGAAAAATGAAGTAAATAAAGTGGGGAGGTGTATTACACACAAGTAGACGATTACATTTTTACTCAGCTTAAAATAACTCTTATTTGAAAAAGCAAGATTACAAATACACTCTGCACAATCGATAATAAAACACAAAGTAGGCAGGTGTTGGTAACAATTGTTTACAAAAGACATTTTTAATCGATATCACACGAAGCAAGGCAGTAAAGCCACTAAGACAGAAGGGGTTACAAGGTGTGGAACAACTGGGAACAGAAACATTAGTAACGAGTAGAAAGAGAAACGAGTAATCCGGGAAGACAGTAGATAGCGATTGGCATTGTATTTAAATTCTTGCAGATTAAAAGTGGCTGGAAAGTATGGAGCCGGAATGGAGTTCCACAAGCGAGAGGTGCGAGAAAAGAAACTGTTAGCATAGAAATTACGGCTACATCTAGCCAGCTCAACTGTAAATTGTTGAGATTTCGCCGCTAGTCCAGTACTGCGCTTAAATTCATACATTCGTACCATAGCGAAGAGCTCATATTTAATATGTTGTCGATATTTAATCTTCGGGAATCAGTATAATTGAACGTCTTTTGCCTCAAAGACAGGGAATTTACCAAAATTGATTAAAACAAAATAATAAAGGGATTATACAAGATCTGTCATGTTTCGATAACGTTAATGTTACAATAAAGCAACTTTCAATGAACATACGAAAATAAGTTTTGAAACGGAAATCAGTTGAAAGACAAAATGGCGAAACATCCGGTTCATTTCTATTCTTTAATGTCGTGAAAAATTAAATATTTTAGCGTAATAAATGTATAGCACTAACATTTTAAAAGATAATAGGTTACAACAGCAACAAAAATAGGGATGTCTGTACTTCTTTTATGTGCCGTATCCCTTCAGTATTTAGCGATCATAGCCCTCCACATCTTTCTGTCCCTTGTAGCTCTTAATAAGTTTTGTCATTTTGTTATCTCCCAAACCCTGTTCTGCCATCAATTTTCTCAAGCTCATCAAGTATGTTTCTTACCGTTTTTCTCTGTCGTTCTTTCCCTCACTCTGTTCAGTAAATATCTTTCTCATTACGTGTCATAAAAATTTTCAATTGTCTCTTCCTGATGTTAAATATAATATATATATTTCTTTTTTGTTTACATTTTCTCTAAAACCTCGCCGTTGGTCATATATTCGGTCCATGGTATCCTCAGCATCCTTCTGTAGAAATTTTAACTGCCGCGTCTTGATGTTAAGTATAAGTTTCCTTTTTGTTGCCATTTTCTCTAAAACCTCGCCGTTGCTCATATATTCGGTCCATGGTATCCTCAGCATCCTTCTGTAGAAATTTCAACTGTCTCTTCCTGATGTTAAGTATAAGTTTCCTTTTTGTTTCCATTTTCTCTAAAACTTCGTCGTTGCTCACATATTCGGTTTATGGTATCCTCAGCATCCTTCTGTAGAAATTTCTACTGTCTCTTCCTGATGTTAAGTATAAGTTTCCTTTTTGTTGCCATTTTCTCTAAAACTTCGTCGTTGCTCACATATTCGGTCCATGGTATCCTCAGCATCCTTCTGTAGAAATTTCAACTGTCTCTTCCTGATGTTAAGTATAAGTTTCCTTTTTTCTTTCCATTTTCTCTAAAATTTCGTCGTTGCTCACATATTCGGTCCATGGTATCCTCAGCACCCTTCTGTAGAAATTTCAACTGTCTCTTCCTGATATTAAGTTTCATTTTTGTTTCCATTTTCTCTAAAACCTCGTCGTTGCTCACATATGATATCCTCAACATCCTTCTGTAGAACCACATTTCTGTTGCTTCAAGTCTCTTCTTCATCTTTGAGAAGATTTCCAGTATTTGCTCCAATACAGGAGGGCAGATATCACGTAACAGTTCAGTACTCTTTTCTCTTAATACTCTAGTTATCTTTTGGGATATACCTTTGGACACCCCAATACGTCTTTAGATCTCAGTGTCGCACTTTCCCTCCTCTAGTACAACACATTCCACCTAGTTACATTTTTGTTTGGTTTTAGTATCTCTGATTTGTATTTTGGACTCATCTTTTTGATGGTAACCATACACCCCTAGGTTTTTCTTCTCGCTTTCCTTCTTTACTTTCTGTAAGAGATTCTTTAGTTTCCTTTCTTTGTCATCTGCATATCTTATGCTGTTAAGTTTGTAGCCGCCAATAATGAATCCTGGCAGGACTTCTAATTCTCTCAGCATGCTGTAATACAAGAGAATCGGGCATTCTGCATCTTTGATATCGTCGTCATCCAAACAATCATCTGATCCCTTTTCTCAAAAAGCATGTCCTCTTCACTGCTAATCGGTCCGTTTGTAAATGTTTTCTTTTCAATGAATTTACCAGGATGTTCTGTCAGATTTCCAATATTAACACAAAGGAAAGGTCTGCCTTGCTTTGTAAAAATGATGCAAATATTGTTTACCCGAAATATAGTGTGAAATTTATTCACTCTAAATACTGTAAATTCTGAAGAAAGTAATTTTTTTTTAAAATTTATTAATCCGACAGATGTTTATCAATTTAAATGTCATTTTTAGTGGATAACCATATTTGAGTGGGATTTTAGTGGATAACCATATATGAGTGGGATTTTTAGTGGATAACCATATTTGAGACCTTTGCGCCAGTCTAGTACTGCGCTTAAATCCATAAAGGCTAGTTACCATAGCGAACAATTACCATGAAAGTATTTATAGACAAGGCACAGAGAGGTAGCTTTACGTCGGTGAGAAAGAGACTGAAGCCGAGATGCCAGATCCAATAATATTGTGGATTCTTCTGGGGATTTGATCAAGGATCTCTAGATATATAGCAGGAGCACCGGACCATATGTGTCAGTAAGCACAGACGAATGGTAGACTTATAGACATGTAGGATAGATTCTTGGAGAGAAAAATTCCTCGCACGACACAGTGAACCAACATTCTTAGCATCAGACTTAGCAATGTATTCAATATAGTCTTTCCATTTCACGTCAGCTCGAGAAGACGCAACGAGTTACTATACTGGAGGTTAGCATCAGCCATACTGATGGAAGGCAGAAAGAGGTTTCCCAGCTGATTAACAGGGTTAGGGTTAGAATTAACATAGGCTGAATTAACAGGCCATCCTCTGCCTCAGTCTTGGTGACAGACATCGGGCGAGATGCTGTTGCTGAGGGTAAGGTTGGCTGTTTAAAATGTTTTCTAATAGATTATTAAATTGATATTCGTATTTTGTAAAAACCGGAACGATGCATATATCTTAATTGCCATATAAACAAAGTTTCGTTCCTTGTACGCTCCGGCCTTCTTCAGGTGATTAGAATTTTCAACCGAACACTTTATCCTCAAGGACACATGGCCCAGTGACTAAAGGCGTTGGTTAGATCCACAGACTAAACCCAAAGAGTTGTGAGTTCAGTACCAGGCCACAGCAGTGGTGAACTAAAACTTGGAGAGTTGAGTTGAAGGGAAATAATTGAGACACCAGGAAGAGGCATGGCACGTGGAACTAGAAAAATGTATCTCGGTGGACGAAATAAAGGGTTCGGGTCGTGTTGTGGAGTGATTTCACAGTGGAGGCTTGTATTTGTACTAAGTCGGTCCTAAAATAGGTTCGACGTATAAAACGTTAGGAACTTGATATAATAGGTAATGACGCAGAGTAATCTTGTTGTGGTCGCTGATAGTTTAGTATTCGACTAACAGTCGTACGACATCGACTAACAGTCGTACGACATCGACTGACTGACCGACCGACTGACGATATTCAGTCACCTCCCCACGAGGGCGTCATGTGGCACAAGGCCGGTTTAACATGGGATCTTCGAGCCCGTGGGCTCGGCCAAAAATATGCCCATTGAACCCGTATAAACGGGTTCAGGTTCGGTTTACCTCCCCGAAAGAGAATCCGCCGTTCGGCGTAGACTCGTTCGGGTTCCTCTCCGCCCGAAGGCAGAGAGTTCAACCGATCAGCCGGCCGACAAACATCGACCGACTGACTGACTGACCCGTTACTCTTACTACTCCTACTTATTATAGGTGGGGGAGTCTATTAACTATAGAATAGGTGTGTTCCACTATCACAGTTCGAAATTCCAATCATCTGAAGAAGGCTGGAGCGTACAACGGCCGAAACGTTGTGAATGTAGCAATGAAGATGAGGATAAGGAAATAATGTAAATAATATAAGTAATCATAATACCTCATCTGAGAGATATACACAGATATGGAATGATGCATTTTTATAATATTCCTGAGAGCGAATTCGTCCTGTTTATATATAATTTCTCGTTCTAAGAACGGCATTGTTTCTTAGTCAGGGCGCATGACTGAAAGGTTAGACATTGCATGTTGCATCTAATTACTGAAGTATTTACTTCGACTGCTATTGCATTAACTGCCAACAGTTGAGTCTTGAGGGCTACGAAGGTATTTTTTTCTCCAATAAAACCCCAGAAACATTATTGAGAAGAGACTGATTCTTACGTCCCAGTTTACGCGGTCCTGTCGGGGAAGACTTACTTTCCATTCTTAAAAGCTCTTTCTCACAAAAACAATGGCGCAAGACTGTCACTACTTCTTCATAACGACTTCCATGGCAAATTTTCAGACAAGCTCCATTCTTTTGTTCCACAAGTTCCGACCTTTCAAACAACGATACACCCTGCTTCTGCCACGCAAATCAAATCATATGCATTCCCCCTGTATACTCAATGCAAAGAGAACGTTTCATTCAGATCGTATTTGCCTAAGAACTGCTGATTTGTAAAACTCCTGCGTTGATGTTTCCTGAACGCTACAGTCTTACCCTCTTCAAGTCAAGGTTACGCCTAATATTATCAATTTATCTGAACGATGGCGTAAGACCGTAGAAATACAGGAAAGCAATTTGATGGTTGAATAATTACTGCTACATCGGGTTTGATGCTTATGCTATCTACAAGTTCTTAACAAAATCCCCAAAATGATCTGCAACATTAACGCCCTGATCTGCTAACCTCCCTATCCAAGACAGTAGACAGAATGTGAGTGGTCTGGTGAAAAATAATGTTATCGACGTGACTATATTAGTAGACTGTAGGAGTCAATAGCTGCATCTATTGCAAGGAAGGTTGGTTCACTGTGTTGTACCAGAAGGTTTTTCTCGTCAGAGTTCATCTAGCATATTTAAAAATCTACCATTCGGTCGCATTGAATACTGTTGACATATCTGGTCTGATGTTTCTGCTGTATATAGCGAGAAAAGAAGGATCTGCAATGTTATCCATCCTGACTTGGCATCTCGACTTCAGTCACGTTCTCACCGACATGACGTTGCTTCCGTCTGTCTTTTCTAAAAATATTTTCTTGGTAACTGCTTTAACGAGCTTTTTCTCCCTGGTGCCCCAAATAGATGAATTTAAGCGTGCTACTAGATTGGCATTTAGGTCCCATCCGTTTACTGTTGAAATAGTTAAATGTAACCGCCATTTCTACTCCAACAGTTTATTTTCTCTTACTTCTCGCATGTGGGACTCCCTTTTGTTGACTTGCTTCCATGATATCTACAATCTTCAAAAATTTAAATGCAACGTCAATCATCATCTTCTGACATCTTGAACGCCGTTTTATTCTTTCCTTAATCTTCCCTATGCCAAGTCTTTTCTCTCACTTTCAGTCTCTGTAGACCCCTGCGTACTCGTGGCATTCCTGTCGTGCTTGGGGTTAAATGACTTAAAAAAGTAAATAAAAAGCAAATAAGAAAGGAGAAACTAAATACCAGGACCTTGCTCAAGAACTGAAGAAATTGTTGTGCGTGAAGGGGAGGGTAAGACTCATGGTCTATGGAACACTGGTCATGGCAAAACGACTTTTGTGAAGAAAATGGGTCCAATGTAAATTAAAAGATGGAATCAGATATTTTCATCCGCGACGCTGTTGATGTGTGGGAAAAATATTGTTAGGGAATGGAGATAAAACTGCGGAGACTTGATGCCACTTGATCCCGAATGATGAATATCTGATTTGGGGATTGGCTGTTTTAGAAGACAGATAGTATTTAAAGAATTGGATAATGTGTCGATCTTGTCAAAATAAAAAAAACAAATAAAAAAAAAAAACAAAAAACAAATCACAGTCAACGTTTTGGGAACGCTGGAAACACCCCAGAAGTGTTTTGAAAAAAAAAAATACAAAGATTTGAAAGCTTCCACTAATAAAGCATTTTAAAAATCAGCAAGAATACCGAAGAGACCCTTGATGCGTCGAAGAGGCGATTTCTATTGAAATGGCCTACATAGACAAATCTTGTTGATGGTTTGGAATGAAGTTGGCTTTGCCTGCCCCCAAAATGTTTCATTCACTACGTGACGATTTTTTATTCATTGTTTCAAGTATTCTTCTTTTTTATCCTTTAGATTATTTTCTGTTTGGTTTGGTGTATTTTGTTTTACAGCATATCAACCTCAATGGGTTATTTAATACCGACAAAATGTTTGTTGCTGGTAACATTTTTTTTCAAAAGTGTATTGCTGGTAATATATTTTTTTTCCAAAAATGTATTGCTAGTAATATTTTTGCCAAAATTGTTTTGCTGGTAATATCAAAAATGTATTGCTGGTAATTATTTTTTAATAAAATATATTTCTGGTATTAAATTCTATTTTTACACGTTTTGAACACATTTTGGAGGCGGTAACTACTTTCCCGTAGCTGGGGCCCTAACAAGTACAACCACCCCGTGTCAGAGTGGACCTGGGAACACCAGCAATTGCGAGGTGGTTCCACGCTCCTCAAAACCTCCTGATAAGAGGCATTGCTCTCGGATGAAGTTTATCGTCTTAACCATATTTTATGTTCTGGTCAATTATTTCTTTCTTTCGCAAATATTTCTTTTTTTGATTCCTATAATTTTTAATTCTCTATTATTTTGTTTCTTTATTTATTCCTTCTTTTTTTTTTCTTATCTATTCATATCTTTCTTCATTGCTTTCTTTCTTTCAAACGTTTTTATCCCACTGGCACTGTTTTCTTTGTTTGCTTGATTGATCCTTGATTTCTTTCTTTCTTTCTTTCTTTCTTTCTTTCTTTCTTTCTTTCTTTCTTTCTTATATCTGTTTGCTGCTATCTTTACCATATAGCTTCCACTTTCTTTCCTCCTTTCTTTCTTTCTTTCTTTCTGTCTTTTTTTCTTTTTTCTTTCTTTCTTTCTTTCTTTCTTTCGTTCGTTCGTTCTTTCTTTCTTTCTTTCTTTCGTTCGTTCGTTCTTTCTTTCTTACATCTGTTTGCTGCTATCTTAACCATATAGCTTCTATTTTCTTTCCTTTCTTCCTTTCTTCCTTTCTTTCTTTCTTACATCTGCCTGCTGCTATCTTTACCATATAGGTTCCACTTTCTTTCTTTCTTTCTTTCTTTCTTTCTTTCTTTCTTTCTTTCTTTCTTTCTTTCTTTCTTTCGTTCTTTCTTTCTTACATCTGCCTGCTGCTATCTTTACCATATAGCTTCCACTTTCTTTCTTTCTTTCTTTCTTTCTTTCTTTCTTTCTTTCTTTCTTTCGTTCTTTCTTTCTTACATCTGCCTGCTGCTATCTTTACCATATAGGTTCCACTTTCTTTCTTTCTTTCTTTCGTTCTTTCTTTCTTACATCTGCCTGCTGCTATCTTTACCATATAGCTTCCACTTTCTTTCTTTCTTTCTTTCTTTCTTTCTTTCTTTCTTTCTTTCTTTCTTTCTTTCTGTCTGCGTTTTTGATCAATGTGTCGCTTTCATACTTCTTTTTTTCTTTATTTCCTTCTTTTTCCTCATCTTGATTTCTTCCTGCCTTTTATTATTTGTGTATTTTCTATCAATAATTTTCTTTCATTCAATTTTTATTTGCTTAGTTTCTTTTTGCTTCATTCATTTTTCCTTCTTCCCTTTTTAGGATTTTTAAAATATTTCCACCTTTCCTTCTTTCTTTCCTTCTTTCTTTCTTTCTTTTATTAATTTTTACTTTATTTCTTTCATTCTTTCTTTCTGTCTCTCTTTTATTCATTCGTTCTTTCTTTTATTTATTTGCTCCCTCTTTCTTTCGTTCTTTCTTTTATTTATTTATTTCTTTTTACTTTTTCTTTATTTCTTTTGTTTATTTGTTTTTTATTTATCCGTTTTCTTTTGTTTGTTTATTTATTCTTCTTTTTTTCTTTTTAGCTTTATTTCTTAAAAATATTTCCTCTTTTCTTTTTCCTTTTCTAATTATGTCTGTCAATGTTTATTTGAGGCTATCATTGCTCTTGTCATTATATGAATTGATATAAACGCAATTCTTCTTCTTCTTTTTTTCTTCTTCTTCTTCTTTTTTCGTCTTCCTCTCACAATTATTATTATTATTATTAGTAGTAGTAGTAGTTGTAGTAGTATAGACTCCTGATATGCTGAGCACACCCAGTTTTATGTGCCAGTGATGGTTGCAAAAATGTAGACATAATCTTGGGTGGGATAATATGTGTACGAATTTCTGGAACTTCCTAAAATATCTGTTTCTTTCTTCTTTCTTTCGTCTTTCTTCCTCATTTTCAATGAAACACACACACACATTTACACATCCACCCCCTACACTGACACCTTCAGTGTCTGATTTACTGGCAGCAGACAATAATCTGGGTATGTCTGTTTTTTTTTATTGCACCAAAGTGGACATAAAACAAAATGCAAGTGCATATGACGCATGCGCAGATGCGCATTTTGTCTGTCTCTTCCCCCCCACTTTGCTCTCCCCACGTCTTCTGATTCTTTTCAGTCTCTCCTTCACACATTATTCTTTCTCTCGCCCTCCTATCTGTAATCATCTTATCCCTATCTTTCGCTTTTTTTTTTTTACTCTCTGTGAATTTGAGAAGATATCGTTCTTGGTCTCGTTCTGTTCTCGTTCACATCACACCTTTTCTCAGTTGTCTGACGCCCCCCTCCCAACGCCGCCATTTCCTTCCTTTTAATTGCTTCTTCATTTTTCTATTATTTTTTTGTTTTCACACTACCGTGAAAATAGCAGCCATGGCGCTAACATATCCTTCATCGAAAACGACCCTGGCGTTTGTAAAGGTTTCATGGCTTAGTGTGATAAATGTAAAAAAACGCTCCCTACTAATACCTCACCATATCATCAGACATTGTTGACACTTCGTGACGGATTAAAAATGCCAGAGGAATCTTTAAGGTTCATTTGACTGATGTAGTAATTTAAAATTTAAATAAGTATGTCGGAATCGAATTAGTGATAAAACTCCATATTGATAATTTGGCAAGAAGGAATTTCTACTTAGACAGTTTCTTCCCGATAGTTACTTTGTGGAACAGTCTCCCAAGAGGATGTTCTCCAGATTAATACTAGTTTGGTTTCTCCAATTTTTGTCTATTCTACATATCATCATAATATGTATTTTTTATTTCCACCTTTTATGCCCTTCTAACAACCTTTTTCAATAACACTCTATCTTAAGTGGCTCTTGGGCCTTGTATTATATTGAAGAATAGTATGAAAAAACTTAGGAAATATCATTATCTACCTTTTCTGCATCTCTGATCATTTAATATATAAGATATTTTCCACGATGCACTATATATACAAGTATATATATATATACATATTTTTTTTTAAGCATTTCACCCCAAGCAAGGTGGGAAGCCACTAGGACGCAAGGGGTTACAGAAAATTTAGAGCATGATCAGATAGGAGTGATAGAAGAAAGGATGAGGGTAGTGGATAGATCAAGGCAACTGGAGATGTCGATTGACATTACACTTGAATAGCTGGAGATTATAGCTCACAGGGAAACAGAAGGGAAGGGAGTTCCACAGGCGAGAGGTGCGAGACATGACGCTATTAGAGTAGAAGAGACGGCTACATTTAGGAGTTTCGACAGTGAAGGGGTGAGAGCGGGATGCCAGCCTCGTAGGGCGCTTGAACTCATGAAGTCTGGGAACCAGCGAATGCAGCTCCTCGGAGCAATTTCCATGAAAGTATTTGTAGAACAGACAGAGGGAGGCGACGGTGTATATATCCAACAAACACTTTCATTGCCATGTGCTTAGGATAGTTATGAGAAATGGGGTGCTGAAAAGTTCAGAGCTCCGAACATTTCTCAAAATGTGACCAGATGACAAAATACCAATTTTTTTTTGGGGGGGGTTTCTTTTTGTCAGGATATGTTGGTTTTGGTTTTGGTTTGGTTTAGTTTGCCATTATTAAACGAAACATTTCTCAGTTAAGTGACTACTACACACGTTAAACGTGGAAGAGAGACTAGCCACAAATGTACACAAATGACCAGCATCATTTCTCTGAAACTTTCTTTAAACTTAATAACTAAAAACGAAGGATTTTCGAATATATATTCATATGGACTTTTGTTCATGTCTTAGCGTGATGAGACGCCAAAGTCTGTGAAAGTATTTTTAATAAACCATGAATATATAATAAAAAAAAACTTAAGTAGTACGTTTCATTTAGATCTTGATTTTTTATTTTGTTTGGCGGCATATCAACAACTCTAGGGGTTATTTAATACTAAAATCTAAATATTTTTGTATATAATTTTATACTTTCAGAATAAAAGTAGGTTTTTAATATACTTATTTTGTAGATCATAAAAATGCATTGTTAGTAACTTTACTATAAAAATGTACCTCCATGAGGTACTATGAGATCTGTTATATACTAGGGCCACTTGACGTGTGCTGATACCTGAATCGTCTCCGACAGACTGTAAAATGTGTTCGTGGTCAGGCGTACGAGCAGATTTTCCTCGATCTATTGCTTGTGATCCAACGGATCCTCTCTCAGCAACGCCAGCGATAAACAGCAGTAAAGGTGGGATGATTCGGCTGCCTTCGGTCCGGAAGTGCAATCAAGGTGCACCCTTGCGTCCATTACCATTTGCGTGGCCGTATGTAAAAATCATGTTTGCTTATTGACGATATGAATTGTCAGGACATGTTGCTTTAGTTTGCCATTATTAAACAGAACATTTCTCAGTTAACTCACTACTACACAAGTTAAACGTTGAAGGCAGACCTGCCACAAATGTACACGAACGACCAACATCATCACTTTAAACTTGCTAACTCAAAAACGAAGGATTTTCGGATATATGTTTATACGGACTTTAGTCCATGTTTTGGCGAGATTACCCCCCCCCCCCGCAAAGTCTGTAAAAGTATTTTTGATAAACCCTGTAACGGTGGAGCAAATGTATAGCGGCTCGGATTGAAGAATCTGAGAGCCGAGTTCGAATTTCAGTCAAATCCATTACATTCACTTACATATTAATACCCTTGGCAAAGGTATGAATCCTCTTCGTCTCCTCCCAACTATCGGTAAATAGCAGGTCAGACCGCGTTCTATAGCCTGGGATGGCTACTGGTCTACCACAGAAAGAAATGGCAACCTACCGCGGGAAAAAAACTGCCTCCTCAGTCATTTATCGAAAGATACATGATCGTCTAAGCGTGTATCACACATGGCACATAACTGACTGAGTGATGTGCTAATACCCTTGGGAAATGTATGAATTCTCTTCTTTTCCCATCTAGCTATGGGTAAATAGCAGATCAGACCGCGTTCTATGGCCTTGGATGGCAACTGGTCTACCGCAGAAAGAAATAGCAACCTACCGCGGGAAAAAAAATCTGTCTTGTCACCAATTGACTGACCCTAAGCAAGTTGATAATGACAGTTAGACACAAGGGTTTATTGGGAGTGAAAGAGAATGGGAAGACAAAAGACAATAAAAGAACAGAAAATGCCAATTGTCATTGTAGGTGGCAAGAAAGCAAGAAACCAGTAGAGAGTCCCGTAGCTGAAAAAAAAACTATTAATATAGAACTTATGGTTACATCTAGCTATTTCAACAGTAAAACAGTGAGACCTAATTGCCAATCTAGTAGCGCAGTTAAATTAATGCAGCAGGTGCACTAAGGTAGAAAGCTTATCAGACCAACTTCCACGAAAACATTAGTAGAAAAGACAGAGGAAATCCATGTCACGTGAGTTACAAAGTAACTGAATATAAGGAACCAGGATAAAATTGCACACCTTCCTTTGGATTTTATGGTGAATCTCGAGATATATATCGGGACCCCCAGACCCGATATCGAAAGCACGAACGAATGGTAGATTTATAAATGTGCAAGATGGATTCTGTCGCGGAATAACTGTCTTGGACGACACAGTGAACCAACTTTCCTAGCAGCAGTTCCAGTAGTTGATTCAATATAATCGTTCCTCTTCATGTCAGGCGAAAACGTGAGACCAAGAAGGCGTAATGTGTTCGTGTCCTTTTTGGTGACAAATTATTTTCCAGCCTTCAATCCCAATTTCACGGGGGTAGAGAGTGGGGGGGAGTTCATGTAACAAACCGCTTACTACTCTATCGCTAATTCCACTAGAAAGTGTTCAGACGAACTGCATTCATTGTTCCGCTAGTTAGTACTTTCACGGCGCAAAATCGCCATGCTACGCGAATTGTAATGAAACGCCATCGTTCCTTCCGTATTTCCATTCGTAAGTTCCACTAAAACAGCTTCTTCTCGCGAATCACTTCTGTGTGGAACCGACTTCCAAGAGAATAATTCCTCGATCTGTACAGTATTTACCTGTTCAAGTCTACCGGTAAACGTTATCGGCCCCACCTAACCGCATAAAATGTGCTTCTTATTCTGTGGCTATCCACCTCAAGTGGCTTCCGAGTCTTGTACAGGGTGAAGCCTACTGTAAAAAAAAATGTCAGTGTATTTTTATTATGGACGAAAGGATAGAAAAAATATTTTTCGATGCTGGCAAATGTGATAAGAAGTTAAGAAATGGTTAAGAAAAAAAAATGATTACCTATTTGTTACAAGCGGGCCAGTGAAATAAAGTAGCAGCGGAAAAGGTTACAAACTTTA